TCCAGAACCTCGGCAGCGACCCCCACATCCAGAACCTCGGCAGCGACCCCCACATCCAGAACCTCGGCAGCGACCCCCACATCCAGAACCTCCTCTCCAGACTCAAGACGGAAAACCACCAGCACAACTCCCTGGAAAATGGCAAACAGAATCCTGCAGACAGAATCGGGCTGCTGGCGCCTGGGCAGCAGCTCTTGCCTATAATTCCAGCACTCTGGGAGGCCACAGCAGGAGGGTTACTGGACCCCAGGAGTTCAAGACCACCTGGGCAACACAGCGAAACTCCATTCGCTACAAAAAATAGAAAAACGAGCCGGCACGGTGGCGTGCACCTGCAGTTTCAGCTATTTGGGAGGCTCAAGTGGGAGGATGGCTTGAGCCCAAGAAGTTGAGGCTGCAGTGGGCTGTGATCATGCCACTACTCTCCAGCCTGGGCCACACAGTGAAACCCTATTTCAGAAGGGGTGGGGGAAGGTGCCAGACTGACTGCTTCTCTTTCAAAGGCAGGGAAATGAAAAGGCCAAGGGCAGCCCGGGTGATGGGCAAGATGACCACCGTGTACTTCCAGCCACCTTCCAGATGTGATCTACTGGGACCCCAGGGGCTCCGAGTGTCACAGTGCCCCGCAGGGTCCTGGAAGACTGTCCAGAACAACTCCATGAAATAGCACTGCTGCACTTTATTCTGTGACCACAACACAGGAGAGGTCCTGAGAGCAGCACTGCCCTGTTTGGTGTTCACAACGGTCACCCTGGCCACAGGTGCATTCAGAACACGTGAACTGTGGCTCGCGCTACTTAGGAAATGAGTCAACTTTAATATTTACTAATTAAAATTTAAATAGTCACAAGACAACAGACTAAATGAGGCCACATTACAGAAGTTAGTTATGTACCACTGTCAGCTACAACCCAGCAAGGCCAGATTCTCATTTTTTTCCCTATCATTCCAGGGAGTTTGTTTTATAAGTGAAGTGTCTTATGGGATAATGGTCCTATTTTAGCCTTAAAAAAACACACACAGCTTTAAATGTAATATCTGCTTTAATTTTGATTTTGGCAAATTCAAATCTCTAATTATTAGAAAATTTTTGCTTTTAATAAATAGAGATGGAGTCTCACTATGTTGCTCAGGCTGCTTTCGAACTCCTGGGCTTCAGCAATCCACCCACACTGGCCTCCCAAGGTGCTGGGGTTATAGGTGTGAGCCACCATGCCCAGCCTTCGTTGCTGTTTTCTGTTTGTTTGCTTTGGAGACAGACTCTTGCACTGTCGCCCAGGCTGGAGCACAGGGGTGTGATCTCGGCTCACTGCAACCCCCATCTCCCAGGTTTAAGCGATTCTCCTGCCACAGCCTCCAAAGTACCTGGAACTATTGGCGCCTGGCTAATTGTTGTATCTTTAGTAGAGATGGGGCTGGTCTTGAACATGTGACCTTGTAATCTACCCGCCTTAGCCTCTCAAAGTGCTGAGATCATAGGCGTGAGCCACCGCACCGGCCATTCACGTTTTTATGAATCACTTTTAGATTTTGTGTTGTTAATCTCTTCCATCGTGATATTTCCATTCACTGTGTCTGTGCTTTGGAAGTACTTTGCACCCTGGTGTCTCATACACACCTTGTGAAGGGCTTTGCGTCCTGGATCTCATATACCTCGCGAAGGGCTTTGCACCCTGGCGTCTCACGTATGCCTCGCCAAGCGCTTTGCGCCCTGTCATCTCACATACACCTTGTGAAGTGCTTTGTGCCCTGGTGTCTGATATATACACCAATATTCTAGTATGCAGTCCTCCTTGTCTTTTTCCTGACAATTATACCAAACGTACAATATTATAGTCTCAGCCACTGTAGTTCACCTATTGCGAGTTTTGAGAAAATGGCACAGAATGAAGTAATATTAGATTTTGGGAATTGCAACCACAAGCAGAAATAGTAATACTGCTCCAAGTGATGCCGTATTTTTCATATATCCCCCCTGATGTATACCCCATTGAAAATTAACCTGAGGAACAGTTCCCACCTTTACATTAAAAACACAGACAGATGTGTGCTTCCTGTCAGACCCTGGCCACAGAAGCTCAGTCCCAGCTGCCACGGCCATGCCTGTGTTTGCTTACCAGACGTGGTGGCTTTATCTCGGCAGCCTTCCCTTTCTCCTGTTTCTTGTTGAGCCTTTTTGCCTATTTCCTGCTGAGTAAGATAATCTTCCAGTCTTTGCAGGCCTTCCTGGGAAGACAGATCAACAAAACAGCCCAGAAATTCCCAGTATTCAACCCAGGGATACCCCAGCTCATGAGCTAGCTCCCTGTAAGAAATAAAACACAATTAACCAGTTGTGAAACCAGATAAAACTCAAACCTACACAGAAAACAGCCACTAATGCTTCAAGTACCAAAGCAGTGTCTGCAATCATGGTTGTAACTTTATTCCCGAATTTGCGGCTGAAATGATACTTTGCATTTTCTGAAACAGTACTCCTCCTCACAGGGAAAGCAGGAGCCAGAAGAGTTCTCACGAGCAGTGAACCAGTGGCAGGACGAAAACGAGACCTCCGCCTACATGGACCCTCCCACCAGCAACCTCGTGCTGGAAGGCCACACAGTTTGCCTCCACCCACAGACAGGCTTGTTCATGTCTGCGGAACAGCGCTGTGGGCTTGCGTGTGGCTCTAGTCATGGCCAGGGAGAGGAAAGCCTAGAGGTTCTTCCTGGGTTCCGGTTGTACAATTGATGCTGGGCACATATTTTGAGAGAATACTCTAAACAATTCCACAAAGCTTTATTTGATTACAACTAATTTAGCTTTGTGACTGTGGACCTTTTATTCCCAAAGAAACTGTACCATTCTATGGTACCTTCTATAAAATATTAAGGTTCCTTAGAAACATGTTCCCAAATGAACAAGGAATGCCACTCTGAAAAGGGAAAGGCAGTGCTGCAGACATGCTCTAGGTCTGAGGCCGGACCAGCGTAATTACGCTCTAATTCCGCACCACAAACTGCAACGTGCCCAGCATCTGCAATGAACTGGACCTTCGTGAGAAGGACCGGCTCTCCCTGAAAAGACTTCCTGGGAATTGGCACTTTGAAGCTGCAATGTGATTTTCCATCATGAGTCAGAGCATAACCAACAGTGCGCCCCACAGCACCACAGCTCAGCCTCTCAGTACCTCCCCACTCTCTCAAAGCCTCTTTCTGGGTCCGATTTCTTGATGTTGTGAAGGAAGCCTGCTTTCTCTCGAGGTGGAGTCTTCCAGAGTTTGCGAAAATCTTCCGCCTATGGGGAAAACAAAATGTACTGAGCTATGACAGCCATCGCGCCCCTCACTGGGGAAGCCTGAAGGGCATCAGCGTCGCAGCAGCAGCTGCCCTGTGTCCCGACACCCTTCCTCCTCTCCCTTCACCAACAGATCCTTGGGCTGCATGCCCACCTGTGGCATGGCCGAGTGGCTATGTGACTGCACTCCGACCTGGGTGAGGGGAGGCGGTCTTCCTTCCTGCAGGCTGGTCCAGGCTGTGAGGTTCAGAATCAGGAGGACCCAAGCATGAGGCCTCGCCCTGAGGACAGACGACAGCTTAGAGCTGCCACCCGACGGCAGAGGTAACACTGTTCCCATCACAGGAGAAGAAACCAACGTTGATCTTTCTGAGTTACGCTTCCTCGAATTTTATGTTTTATGGGTCTGACCTAACCCTACCTGATACCACCTAATTTTGACGCCATTTTCATCAAAATAACTTATTTAGAAAGTTTTTAGCACAAGATTATATGTATAGGTCACTGTGAAATATTTCAACAGGAGAAAGAATTGTCAACTGTAAACAAAAAAATGTATACAACCTTTGACCCCGTAACACCACCATTAAGAATTTCTTTGGCCAGGCGCGGTGGCTCAAGCCTGTAATCCCA